GGTTAAAAGGCTGAGCTCGTAGATGATGATAAATAACATAGTTATGTATAATATATTACATTTCTGACTGGATATCCCTGTAATTATTACACACTGTAGCTTTAAATGTGTAATTCATTAAATAAATAAGGAATTAAATATATAAATGTGTCATTAATTTAATAAAATACGTCTTCATTTTATTAAAAATATATGTATAATTATTTCAGTGTGCATTTAATTATTTCATGGTCCTGTTTCGCAGTGCATCGAAACCATTAAAAGAATCTGTCAAACTCACCCATCAAAGTTAGGGGGCGGTTATCTAACACCTGATTGGTCACCCTGCACATTAAGGCGGAGCAAATCGATTACAGAGACTCGATTCGCATTAACCCCGCCCCCTAACTTTGATGGGTGATTTATTTATTTCATTTCACATTTAATTAATTATTGACACATTTAATTATTTATTTAATACTGTATTTATTTATTTAATTTTGGCACTTTTTATCCTCCATAGCCTAAAGCCCACTGCGAACATTAAGACAGAAAAAAGAAAAAAAAAATAACAAACGATCAGTTCGGGTGTTTTATAAAATATGGGAATCAGGAAATCGTCTATAAACCAAACTGAAAGATTGTTGTTCTGTACTTAAAAAAAAAAAAAAAAACTTTAGATTTTAAAATGGAAAAATGTTCTATTCTTTTTTTTATATTTTTGTATTTAAAAATTCAACATACGTGGATGCATAAACACCTCATTTTATTTCAGTGTTCAATTCTGTTTAAAGTAATAATTTAAAATGTTTCCGGGCCTTTACTGGTTGATAATTTTCTTTTTTCGGACCCAGCTGAGTTTTAATTGGTTACCCCCGATCTAGATAAACCTAAAAAAAAAAAAATAGATTACAGTTTGCAAAGACGCTTTAGGTCAAAGACATGTTTAAAAGATAAACCTTAGAGTCTGATAAAGCCACAGTTGAATGGATCTCAGTCAAATGGTTTACTGTCTTTGTGAGGACCTGCTCTTTGTTCATTAAAGGAATAGTACACCCAAAACATGATTAG